CAAATTTTAAGATATCCGCAAAACTTTTTATTGAAATGAAAATGAAATGGTGACAAAATTGTTTTTTCTTGCAACTAGGGGAACGAAGGGTATTGTGGATTCAGCGGCTAATGGCTACCACCTATTAAAAAAAAAAGCGGGGATGATTTAAAATTGCGATTCAAGCACAAATGAACTATGTGAAGGGAAATCAATCTATATCTATACATCTTATAAAATAAAGTCTCAAAATATGTGTGATTTGAAAATTGCTTTTTGCATTTTAAAGCTTAGCTAACTGGGAAGGATAATTTCAACATTACTTGAAAGCACCTATAAAAAGGGCGTGTCAATATGCCAAAACGTGCTAAAAATCATGGAATCGTTTTTAAAACTGCTATAAATCAAAAATCGATTGAAATAGTTCTTCTTTGCAGTTCAACTTTGAAATGATTAGTTCTTTATTAAAAAATAGTTAGTTATTTTCTAATATAACACAATTTTGTGAAACAAAAGTTATAGTTTAAAAAAACAAAAGGCTGTTTGTGTGTATGTTCGCTGTGCGCCAAATGTACCAAGCTGCCTTAAGCGGGAAGAAGCAGGCACAGCAAAGATTCGAAAATGTGTGCGCTTCAGGGTAGCCAACTTCTTTTTGAGAACTCCCTAATTTCGACAATAAAATTTGTGAGGACTAAATATCCGCGGAATTTAGCCCACACGAACGCAAACCCCTACACCAACAATAACGACTACACCGGCAACAATAACGACTACAGCAACATCATCGAAACGGCTAACCAACACGAGAGACCGTATCAACACTCTTTTGCGACACTGTCACCATAGCAACGCAACATGTAGCCACACAACCCAGCAACACGAAGAACACCAGCTGGTCGTGAACGCACAGCTACTAGAGAATAGCTCTCGACTTGTACATAGGCGACTATACAAGGCTTGGCTGTTCAAAGGTAGAGCGCCGCCACCCCACAGTCATCCGTGAAGCCGCGCGACGGCGACGGCCAGAGGAGCACACCGACGTCGCCCAAAATCTAAGCGTCGTTAGCGGAGCCGTGGTCGTGAACGCACCGCTGCTAATGAATAGCGCATGACCTGTACATAGGCGACTATACAGGGCTTGGCTGTTCAAAGGTAGAGCGCCGCCACGCCACAGTCCACCGCGAACACGCGTATCGGCGACGCCCGCTCGCAACGCAGCAGGGCGCCGACGTCGCACAGCAGCAGCGCGCCAACATCGTCGCGCCGACGCCGCACAGCAGTAGAGTGCCGCCATAGTGGCACCGACGCCGTCCATCAGCAGCGCGCACCAATCGTCGCACCAACGTCGTATCGTAGCAGATAGCCGACGTCGCACAGTAACAGAGCGCCGACGATGCACAGCAGCAGAGCGCCGGC